TGCACTAATGCACAGAGCCATTATGTGAATTTACATATATATGCCCTTTAGGAAGACATTTGAATATCATTAACAAAAAATTGTGGTTAATATTTTTGGTCACCGTATTCCTCTTCGACAAGTTTTTTATAAAGACAATTAATGGGTATAATTTACTAATGATTTTTGGATTGTTTGTTATTATATTAATCCAATAAAACTAGAACTCTGATTGGGGGACAAATCCATCGTATATTTCTCGATGGTGTTGGCAAGTCAGTTTTGACTCTTGTACTTCCCATACTCCCTAAACCAGCCTTTTAATTCAAAAGTCATTATATTTCTTTTAGAAAATTAATCTAATTAAAAATTATATTGAATGGTAATTAGGTTCACATGCTGTGTTCTTTTAATAGCTAAGAACTCACATAATCGTTCATTTGCAAACTCTAGTGTGACTCGCTTGTTGAAGTATTATACGTCCATAGGTATAATCCCACAAGTGATCTATTTATTTATTCAGTATTTTTATTTTTTCAATATATTTGGCAGGAACACACTATAGAAACAGTTATAAATGAAGCGTGACATTTACTGCATCATAAGTTTCTCTGTTGATGAACATCAGCAGATAAATGTTTAAAGTTACGTTGACCAGACCACACACTAGAAAGGGATGAAGACGTTTCGGTCCGTCCTGGACCATTCTCAAGTCGATTGTTTGGTCGACATACTTCAGCCACGTTATTGTGACTCCTCGTCTGCGTTTCAAGTTATGTTTGAGTTAAGTGACCACATACTACTGACGCAATAGTCCGTCTGCCTTCTTGCATCGGACAACTGACACTAACCTGACCAAATGATTAGGTGGGGTTTGGGCTTTGGAAAGTCACCTATAAAAGGTATCTAGTAGTCTAAGTTGCTGTAGATTTAGTTAGGATTGTTACATAAATTTATTACTGCAGACAGGTTCTGTTGTTTGCAGTCCGAGCACAAAGTGTTCTACAGAACTTCCTGCCACTTCCAAAGACAAGAACTGCCATTTGCCGTATAAAACACTAACAAGGACATTAGATATATCTAAGAGACTAGAGAACATAATGTCAAGGTCAGACGTTACAGGTACCTTGATAATTGGTCCCAAGTAGGTAGAGACGGTAAGTTCTCAACTAGTTAATAAGTTCCACTTTGCCTAATACAAAAACAGTTCATTTGTTTAAGTCGGATATATTATGCACCGATGGTTATAGTACAAAGCTACCACGCTAAGAACACTAAAGACTCATCTAAGAACATGAAATACCAGAGCTGACTATACAACAAGTGTTCAAGACAAAGTCTTACCTGGGCGCCATTTTTAACATTTATGCTAACACTTATCGTAAGAAACTTTACTTCTTTCATGCTAACGACTTGACCTCACCGTCATAAGTGCTGGTCAGACGAATAGACGTCTCGACCTTAACCTTAATTTATTATATCAACCTTGAAAGTCTCCAGACTGAAACGTCTTAGAATAAAGCGTCCGGGGACAGACCATTCTGTACTTGTGCTAGTTACAGCTTACGGCATAATATATCGAGCCCCTGATGTATATATTAATTTTAAGCTCATTGTATATCATACTGCAAACTTAAGTTTTTATTTCACCGAAATTGAAATAAAAATTGTATTTTCTGGTGTCCAATCCACCAGTCATGTAAACTGAACTTTCACAGTATCACACGAATGCAACACTTCCATATACAACCACAAGTGATATTATTATTATTATTAACATCTTTATTAACAAAATTAATTACAATTTTGCCTAATCTGAGGATTTCTATTTCAATTTTTGTATTCTATGAGGATATTGCTGGTATTCACTGTCACACAGGACAGAGGGTCATACACAAGACAATAGGTCTAAACTGAAGTGATAATTAAATTAATATATGACGCCCCTGGACAGCGACCTCCTTCAGCACCAGGTTCACGTTCACAGGGTAAACTGCTAATGTGTTCATAGATCAGGCCCCATGGTGAACACAGAGGTAGGGGTTAAGTTAGTAATCCGGGTACATAGTTGCTCACCAAGTCAGGCATCACTGTCCTAGGGATGGAATTGCAGGCGAACCTAAAAAATTTGGACTATATAGCATTTCGGATTTGCTGGAAAATCCGGAGTTTTCGAAATTTACCCTTTTTTTGACTAGTTACCATTAAATTTTCCGTTTATTTTTCTCTCGACAGCAAGTGATATAATAATCGTTGATGCATATTCCAACACACAAATAATATATAACAATGATTTTGGTGGAGTTTGCTAATGTACAAACTATGCATAAGTATGATTGGTAATGTACAACTGTACAACATATATTTGTTTACTAACCTTTTTCAGGAGCACAGAGTGGTCTTCTCAACCCCTTTGAGAGGAGAATACAGTTATAGACGCAAGACTCACTAACATTGTAACAGATGAAGATATTCTTCCCCGTGCATTCATTTTTCTTTGATCCCCCATCCATTCCCATCCCCCCCTTTCCTGGATGGAAAGATGGGGGGTAAGAGGGACTTACGACTTGATCTTCCTCACTGTGATGTCAGATGTGTAGTCAACAATGCCTCTCCTTCAACAAAACCCAGTTATTGTTTTCTTAAGTATATTTTTTACATTTGCCTTACTTTTTTTGAGTGTGTGTATTTTCGAGTTAATTTTAGTGCACTTCGTTTTGTATTTATGCTTGGATAACTTTCGATAAATTTCTTTATTGTGAATATTTTTTAAAGAAAAGAAAATATTTAGCATCTTTGTAATGGGGCGTGTCGCGTCCTTGCCATTAAGCTACCTTGTCTTTATCTTGAGGTGTCCTCCTGCGAAGCTCTCTCTCTCACACACACCGACACACACACACACACACACACACACACACACACACACACACACACACACACACACACACACACACACACTCCAGGGAGACTGGCAGGGAGACTGGAACACCCACTCTAAAACATTATTGAGTGAAACACTGGTGTGGTGAGGGGGGAGGCGGCACCACCCAGTATTGGCTGTCTTTATCTACTGGCAAGGTTGCTCAATTCTATAAATAAAAAATTATTTTAGGAACAATATGAACAACAAGAACAATTTGATGGACATTATTTTACATAACCGATAAACAATATTCCCCCCCGCCCCCGTCTTCCATAAAATCCGGATTCGTTTTAAAAATCCGAAATCTGAGGTAAAATCCGGGTAGATTGTGTTTGGTTTTTCACCCAATCCGTTATTTCAGGGGTCCGGATTTTCGGGGTGTCACTGTCTTGAAATCAGAATTGGTGTTTATAAAAACCTATTCTATTATTTCCTTTTTATGTTCATAGTTTTCAGGGTTCTACCTTATATTAAAATCCTGCCATAAAATTTGATGATTAATCTCACTTACTTAATGCTATTAAGCTGAGATTTTTGTCACATCTGACTTGGAATTGATATTTAGAAACTTTATTTGTAAATGTACAAGTGTTTACATATATACAAACTCAAAACACTAATTCATAAAGTGGTTGCGAATTTATAATGGAATAATTTACAGAAAATCACATACTGTATATATATATATATATATATATATATATATATATATATATATATATATATATATATATATATATATATATTATATATATATATATATATATATATATATATATATATATATAATATATAATATACACTGTACAGAGCAGCAAAGCTTCTCTTGGGATCACTCTCCTGCAGCCTAGTGGTGGTAGTCTGATAAACATTGACCTCAGCCATTATTCAAAGACTCGGTAAAGAGACCAACAATCAGTTTATATTCCTAGTCATATTTTCTAATGTTGAGTCTGCATTTCATTGATTAGCTCGCCATGTCACCTTCCAGGCTAATGTTCGCGGACATGCTAAAGACAAGCAAAAGACTTTAAATAGTGTGAAGCTTTAAATAGGAAGAAGTAATCCAGACTAGCTCTCACACACACACACACACCTGTTGAGACTGTTGTTGTTAAAGATTCGCTACTTGGAACAAGCAGTTCCAAGTAGCACGGGCTATGGTGAGCCCGTAGGTACTTCCTGTTGAGACGTCTCCATCAAGGCACATCGTGATGGACGGCATATTAAGTTAGGCATCTCCAACTGTTTGGTTCCTCTAAGGGATTCTAAGCTTAATATAAGATAAAAATAAAAGACCCGGTTGTAGATCGTTGTACTGTACTGTTGTTTCTCGCATGGCATAAGTTACACTTTGTATCGTTACCTGGTTTCAGCAGCATGTTCTTAACAGTTATGAAAGCCACTTTCGGTTTTGATGAATACAAATCTACCGGCTATTTAATCTACCGGTAATCTACCGGCTCCTACATACGTGAAATCTATTGCTTCTCCTTCATAATGATTTATTTATCTTAAGGTTAATTTGAGAATTACTTGATAAATCACTTGAACAACTTATTCCATAAAAATATTAACGAAAGTAAGGTAAATTTAGTAGAATTTAGAGTCTCACTTCCACCTACTTACGGGAACACAGATCAACACGTTAACACACAATATTGCACAGCACCGTTCACAAGAGAGACATGTAGTGATGTGACATAAGAGACAATTGTCCATTTTTTTGAGCAGAGTTGAATGTAATTTGTAATGTAATTGTTCATAAAGGGACTGCCTTTTATCTCAGTAAATGGCAGCTTCAGTGCCCATTGGGGCACCTTGTATTGAGTGAGGCGATCTAGTATTTACAATTATATTATGCCTTTTTTTATAATATTTATGTTATATAATATATAACATTTACGTTATAATATATATAATATTTGTTATATAATATATAACATTTACGTTATAATATATATTTGTTATATAATATATACTATTTATGTTATATAAGATTTAATATTTATGTTATAACATAAATATTAAATATCATATTATTTTTTACCATTAATATTACCGACAATCTTGATTAAGAATATAATTAATTACGTCATAGGTCATTATAAAAAAAGGATATATTTTCTTATAAAGTTCCTTGATTAATTTAGCCAAAATGATCAATAGAGCTGAGCTGAGAATTTTACTTTGGCCAAAGAATCTGAAGACATTTTATTTTTTGACCATTAACCATAACAAACAAGTTCTCTGGCTATTTGGCAAATAGAATCAATTATTTTCACAGCGAAGAGGAAAGTTCACCCATATATCAAATATTCTTTGCATTGCTACCTTTATTTATCACAAAATAACTACTGTTATCACCTGTTACTTTCCAAGTAGCCTAAGAACACTGAGAGTTCTCTCAAGCGGACTCCAAGTTGGTACACACAGAGTCTGCAAAGTTGTTGATCTGATCTGGAGACTTGGGGCGCGAGGAACAGCCAGGCGAGCGTAGAATATTGTTTACAACTCACACAGAGGCTGCCAGGCTGCTACCAGAGAGTGTATAGAACACCTCCTGGGTCTCGCGGATTGGAAGATAGTCTTTGGTGTTTGTCACGAAGGTGAAGTGCTTGGTATGAATGGTTTGGTGGAGGGTGTAGGGGGTTTGGTGGAGGGTGTAGGGGGTCTGGTGGAAGGTGTAGGGGGTCTGGTGGAAGGTGTAGGGGGTCTGGTGGAAGGTGTAGAGGGCCTGGTGGAGGGTGTAGGGGGTCTGGTGGAAGGTGTAGGGGGTCTGGTGGAGGGTGTAGAGGGCCTGGTGGAGGGTGTAGGGGGCCTGGTGGAGGGTGTAGGGGGCCTGGTGGAGGGTGTAGGGGGCCTGGTGGTTGGCGTAGGAGGTCTGGTGATTGGTGTAAGGGCATTGGCGGTTGGTGTGTATGGTCTGATAGTTGATATGGATAATTTGGTGGTTGGCGGGGCAGCTGGCGCCGGGTCATATGTAGCAGGTGTAGGTGTCTGCAACCGCACATCACGTGTGGTTGAGGGACAAAGGACGACGTACGGTAGCGTGGGTAGTGTGTGTGGTGGAGTCTCGGTAGCTGATACCTTCCTCGGTGTTGTGAGTAGAGAGTTTGGTGATGTGTCAGTCGACGGTGAAATGATTGGGTTTAGAAGCGTGGGTATAGTGTGGGGTGCGAATATGCTTGATAGTGAAGTGATAGTGTTTGACGGGGTGAGTATAGTGTGCGCTGATGAGGTGGGTGTGGTAGGTGGTGAATGCTTCATGTGTGAGATGATGGTGGTGGGTAATAAGTTCGCCATGCATGAGGTGGGTGTGATAGGTGGTGTGTGCTTCGTGGGTGTATTAGGTGGAGTTTTATTCGTGGGTAAGGTAGCTATGTTAGGTGGTGTGTGATTAATGGGTGACATGCGAGTGGTAGGTGTTAAGTGTTTCATAGGTGAGGTGGGTGTGATAGGAGGTGTACTCTTCATGGGTGAAGTGGGTGTAGGTGGTGAGTGCTTCATGGGTGAGGTGAGAGTGGTAAATGGTGAGTGCTTCATGGATGAGATGAGTGTATTAGGTGGTGTACTCTTCATGGGTGAGGTGAGTGTGGTAGACGGTGAGTGCTTCATGGGTGAGGTGAGTGTATTAGGTGGTGTACTCTTCATGGGTGAGGTGAGAGTGGTAGGGAGTATGGCAGTCGCGTTAGTGGGAGAAAATTGTGACCTGTATATTTCAGGCACTGTAATGGAACCATTGGATGCCGCAGGTACGGTGTGTGTTGAGGTGGGCTTGACCTGGGAGGCGCACTCTGTGGTGACCCCAACAATTCCCTTGTGAGCTGCGCAGCTCCGAGCAACGGTAGAATATTCCTCACTGTTTAATGTTTTATGTGTATTTATTTGCGTGATTTTACCTGAAGTTTGATCTGTGTTTTTTGATGCTGTGGATGTGGCCTGTTGTAGAAAGCTCTGTGATGGTAGCACCCGTACGGGCTCAGTTCCCAGTTGATTTGAGGCATGATGTAAAGTTTTTATTGAGGACAGAAGCCCTTCTGTGGTAGAATTAGCCCCGTGTGTTGTAAATATGAGGTGTTCTGTGGTGTGTGCCGTTTCTTGTGTGGAAGATTCGGCCAGAAGCGGTCTAGCCGCGATCTCCCGAATGACAGAGATAACAAATATCTTGCGTGAGTCGCTCTCGTCTCCCTGCAAGCCCTTCTTGACCTGTCCGGCGCCAGTTGAAGCCCACTTGGAGTGTTTCCTGTGCTCGCCTCCGGCCGCTACTTGGTTACGCTTGGAGCGCCACCTGGTCTTCAAGGATGGCGTCGGACGGGGGTTCCTCAAGGAGGCTTGTTGACGGAGATTCCTTGAGAGAGGTGGTGGTGGTGGACGGGGCTTCCTGAAGGTGGGAGGCAGACGGGGGTTCCTCCCTGAGGCCACGTCACGTAGGACTGTCAATAAGGATGAAGATGTCGTCGACAGAGTTCCTGCGGGAGGAGGTGGTGGTGTTGGTGGTGGTGGAGTGGTTGGTGAAGGAGGAGGTGGTGGAGAAGGTGCTGGTGGAGGTGGCGAGAGAGGTGATGGGAAAAGCACCAGCAGCCAGAATTAGTTCATCATCCGGACCTTTATCGTCATCAGCATCATAGCCATAATTTACACCTGAAAGATTTTGTGTAATTCTGTATTGACATTTATTTCTCCATCTGTCAGCTGTCAGCTGTCAGCTGTCAGTTGGAAGGCTGTCAGTAGAGCTCTAGGAACTTGAGCTAAATATTATTATTAATATTGTTAAAATTAATGTTTATTATTTCATCATCATCATATTATTATTATTATTATCAACAACATCACAATTGCAATATCCTTAAATAATGTCTGAAAAACTATAAAATAAAAATACATTTTATATTCATTGTTTGGGGTTAACAACAGTAATGCATACAAGCTAGATTACACGATATCTAAAAATATATATATATATATATATATATATATATATATATATATATATATATATATATATATATATATATATATATATATATATAATATACTCTTGCTGTACATCCGGGATGCCCATATTTTTGTCAAGGAATGTCAGGCTCCAGCTCCGGGTCATCGATCACGTCGTCTCTCTGGTTCGCGATACACAGCACTTACGTTAATTGATCTTTTGCATTAATTTGAGGGGCTCCAATTATCTCATTAATTTAAATTAATAAGTAATTGTAACTTATCTGCCCACGCCCTACATTACGGAGGAAATTTGTGCCAGGTCAAAGAGAAACTGTTATCTAAAGATGTGAAATATCGCTGCCAAGCTAACCTAACCTAACCTAACCTAACCTACTTTGATGACAGCAAAGAGGCTTTTTTTTGGGGGGAGGGGGGAAGGGAAGGGGTAATTAACAATAAACCTGGGCCTATCACCTGTAAATAAAAATTATTGTCATTGCTAACAAAGTATATTATATTTTATTAGAGCTTAGTAACTCTCACTCACTTACTTACTCACTCACTCACTCACTCATTCACTCTCTGTCTGTTTGTCTCTCTCTCTCTCTCTCTCTCTCTCTCTCTCTCTCTCTCTCTCTCTCTCTCTCTCTCTCTCTCTCTCTCTCTCTCTCTCTCTCTCTCACTCACTGTCTGTCTGTCTGTCTCTCTCTCTCTCTGTCTCTCTCTCTCTCTCTCTCTCTCTCTCTCTCTCTCTCTCTCTCTCTCTCTCTCTCTCTCTCTCTCTCTCTCTCTCTCTCTCTCTCTCTCTCCCTCCCCACATAACATTAACTCACCTTCAAGTTTCGTTGAGTGAGGCCGGGGCATCTCCATCAAGAAATCGGGGCGCCCGTTAGAGGACCCATTTGGGATGTTTGTAGGCGTGTAGTTGCGGGTCGGGGAGGTAGTGGTGGTGGGCGTGCAGCTGCGGGTGGGGAAGGTGGTGGTGGGCGTGCAGCTGCGGGTGGGGGAGGTGGTGGTGGGCGTGCAACTATGGGTGGGGGAAGCTAAGGTAGGCTGGGTGTCCGACAACTGGGACGCCATGGTCTTGTGGAGCTCAGCTTTGGCGCGCCTCACCACCCATACGGTCAGCCCGATGCTGATCACGATCTGTTGAATGTAAACAACGATGAATGCTGGGGGCAAACACACATGCTATCCTTCTATACACCCCTTCTATACACCCCCTTCTATACACCCCTTCTATACACCCCCTTCTATACACCCCTTCTATACACCCCTTTGTATACACCCCTTCTATACACCCCCTTCTATACACCCCTTCTATACCACCCCTTTCGTATAATATTGACTTATTAACCTTTGATATACTACACCCTTAAAAAGATTCATTTACCTAACCTAGTATCAAGATAAGCATCCTTCCTTATTATACACCTATTATAGGTTAGGTAATAATTGTAATTACGAAGCTTGCTATAAGATACAACAAGGTTAGGTAAGGTCCTATGAATCTTTTTAAGGGTATCTATTATGTTAAGTACCCTATGCTTTTAATAAGTCTATTGACTATTAAATTTGCGACCCCCTTCTATACACCCCTTTCTATACACCCCTTCTATACACCCCTTCTATACACCCCTTTCTATACACCCCTTCTATACACCCCTTCTATACACCCCTTCTATACACCCCTTCTATACACCCACTTCTATACACCCCTTCTATACACCCCTTCTATACGCAGTCGATGAGTCACAATATCGTGGCTAAATTATGTTGACCAGACCACACACTAGAAGGTGAAGGGACGACGACGTTTCGGTCCGTCCTGGACCATTCTCAAGTCGATTGTGACTTGAGAATGTGACAGTCGACTTGAGAATAGTCCAGGACGGACCGAAACGTCGTCGTCCCTTCACCTTCTAGTGTGTGGTCTGGTCAACCCCTTCTATACACCCTTTTATACCCCTCTTCTGGGTCTATAGAAGGGACTTGTGAATTGGCAAAGCGGTTAAACAAGGATTTAGAGTGCAATAAATAATGCCTCAATGTAGGTGCCAATAACTTTATTGGCAGGCAAGTAAATTTTGAGTTTTATATTTTATATTTTGTCCGGACTCTCTAAAATGATTAGTGCCAAACTCCTCTACTTTCCATTTAGTCCATCACGTCGATATTTGTACCATCGTTCACATAGTTACCAACAATATTATCTTATCAGGAAGGTGAGTTGATGAATCAAGAACATGATATATGCAATCAGTGAAGAACATGATATGATATTAATCAAGATTGTGATATGCCATCAACAACATTATATTTCCAGGCAACTTGTATGTACTATATACATATATATATAGATATATATATATATATATATATATATATATATATATATATATATATATATATATATTGTATGTATGTAAATAAAGTTTATAAGCATTTCGAGGGGGTGTCTACGAGTCTCTGGTGACGGCAGCACGGACGTCACAAGTGCATATACTGACCCGTTAACTATGGATGTAGGCTGGAGGACTATAGGGAGAAGGCGGGCAACAAGACCTCGTCCTTGTCCCTGACTAAACCTTTCAACACGCGGTCGGCTCCAGCGGCCCACAGCCCCGTCCACACACACACACACACACCGCGCCCGTCCGAGCTGCGCGGTCGACCCCGAAGACGCATTCGTAAATTTGAACTCGCGGTCGACCCCGAAGACGCATTCGTAAATTTGAACGCACTTTATATCCATTCTGTCACTTTCCACGATTAATATCTTATATTGGGATTGTGTGTGTGTGTGTGTGTGTGTGTGTGTGTGTGTGTGTGTGTGTGTGTGTGTGTGTGTGTGTGTGTGTGTGTGTGTGTGTGTATGTGTGGATGTGGTTGGGTCTAGGTTAGGTTGGATATTTTTTGACCATCTTTGGAAGTTGTTGAAGCATTCACAGGTGCACCTCGAAGCCCAAATGTGAGCGAAGCACTGCGCGAGAAAGGTTCAAATGCCTTCATTTGTGAGTCGTTTTTAATTTTTGTTATTCAGGCAAGAATAGTGGGGTTTGGCAGCTGACATAACGCCCATTTGGCCATTATTTATGAGGACGAGTTTAAAATTGCGCTGGGATGTACGCAATGGGACCTCTTAGGTGGGCTCTGGGTATCTCTCACTGGGACCTCTCGAGAGGGCTCTGGGTATCGCTGGCTAGCGTCAAGGAGCTCCAGTATGGAGGAGGAATGAATAGGTCACATTGACGGGGGCAGTGAGGGGTCTCCAGGCGCTCAATAATCAAATGAATAACTCCCCTTGCCGAGGACCAGCGGCCACAGTGGTGCTGGGTGGGTGTGGTGGGCGTGGCGGTGGCTGTGGTGGGCGTAGCGGTGGCTGTGGTGGGCGTAGCGGTGGCTGTGGTGGGCGTAGCGGTGGCTGTGGTGGGCGTAGCGGTGGTTGTGGTGGGCGTGGCTGAACGTAGTGGTTGTCGCTAAGGCTGAGGCTGGAAACTTTCATTTAGTGCTTCACATATTTCCTTGTCATTTTCCTGTGAAACCGCTCTGACTTTTCTTCAGTTTGATCACCTGTTTGTCTACCATAAACGTTCTTATCTGGCTGTGCATCAAATCGTGTTGGTCCTTAATCTTGACTGCAGCGTCATTTTCATATTGCTTCTCTGCCTCTCTTGTTACCATCACATAATAACCCTTCAACCTATCCTCATAGAGCATGGACCTTCATGGTAATCAACACACATAGTCTACTTGTGCATTTATTAATAGTATTAAAATGCACTACGTAATTATTACTTTAATGTTCTTCCTATCCTTGGTTTGGTTCAAGGTTAGGTTAGGGTTGCGCTAAAGTTAGGGGTATGTTAGGTTAGGTATGTTGCATTCTCAAAACATGTAAAACATACGAAATTCTGACCTGCTTGAATATACCCAAGAATTTTACATAAAAAAAAATACGTTGACTTTAAGGCTATTCATAGAAAATGTGTATACCAAAGACTTAGTAAATTTTTAAGCCTTGGTTTTAAATGATTTACAGGTATGACTTGAGAATAATACCTGTTTAGGTCAATGGTTCAGTACCCAGTTAATCAAAATAATATTACTAGATCTTTCACAAGCCTTCAGAGTATCTCTAATATCTAGATAAGTATCCTGGTGGTTTTAACATGAAGGATGGACACGCTTTAGAATCACTCGGTCCAGTTCATAAATGAAATAACTTAACAGTAGTAAAATGTAAATCATATACTTAGTTTCTTAATGAACTAAATAACCTGAGGAAGGACTGTTATTCCTCTAATCTGAAATGAGAATTGTGGTTATCTTCCTTCTGTTCTCTCTCTATATATTTTATTTTTCCAGTTATCCTGCTTCTCCGTTTAGCACTCAAGTATCTCCTGCAGGCGAGGAGTCACAATAACGTAGCTGAAGAATGTTGACCAGACCACACACACTGGAAGGTGAACGGACGAAGACGTTTCGGTCCGTCCTGGACCATTCTCAAGTCGTCCTGGACCACAATCGACTTGAGAATGGTTCAGGACGGATGGAAACGTTGTCGTCCCTTCACCTTCTAGTATGTGGTCTGGTCAATAAGTATCTCCTGTTGATCCAATGGCCCTTATTTTTTTTCTTCACTATGTGTATATGTGTGTGTGTGGGGGGGGGGGGTTGTAATAACACTGACATTATTTTTTGAGTATTTTGGTAGAGATCTACCACATCAAATGATGGCCGTTAGTTCCAAACAAGTTTGTGTTTATACTCACGAAATACTCTTCGACACGTCCTTGAAAACTCATAAAAGTAACCTTAATATTGTCTAGTAAAGAGTGGAAACCCTGTCTATTCCTTGCTACTTTTAGTCCTGTTTCCATCTTGACACTTTTCCCTCTCCCTTCTAGGTCTTTGGTTTGAAGTTGGGACTCAGGCCTATCCATTGCGGGAGGGTTATTTAGGCGTATGAGCCGTGGGAGGGTTATTAATAGTAGGCACCCTGCAATCTAATGATGCCCGCATTAGGTTATTAATACAACCACAATAATACTGACTAAATAAGAAAGTTTACTTTAGTCCAATACATATAGTCCAGGACTAAATCGTAAACTTATTTATCGGCATATGTACACCGATCAATGGGTATAACACCTATTCCAAACACTGAACATATGCCACTCTTCTTGCGTTCCTTAGTATCTCCCCTTTCTTAGGCACCCTTTCTTCCCTATTTCATCCATCTTTATTAGTTTACCCTCTTGGGCTGGACGGTAGAGGGACGATCTCGCTTCAAGCAGGTCGGTGTTCAATCCCCGACCGTCCAAGTGATTGGGCACCATTCCTTTCCCCCCGTCCCATCCTAAATCCTTATCCTGATTCCTTCCAAGTGCTATATAGTCGTAAAGTCCCCTGATTACCCTCCCTCTTCCCCCTTCCCGCCCCCCACGCCCCTTTTGCTGCTCCATGCTTACCTGAACGGCGAAGACGCCCCAGCCGGTGGCGCTGACGGAGGCTGACTGGGAGACCACGTCGTCAAGGCTCCTGACGGTGGTGCCCAGGTAGCAGTTGAGCACCTGGGTGGGCAGGAGACCCAGCACCGTGGCCAGCAGGTACAGCCACGTGGGCACGTGCGATACCTGCAGTGGAAGATGCAGGTGTGTGAGAGGCAGGTGTGGAGGGAAGGGAAGGAAGGGCAGGGTGTGACTATAGAACACGTGATAGAGGGTCAGGAGGTCAAGAGGTCAGGAGGTCAAGAGGTCAGGGGGGGTCAGGGGGTCAGGGAAGGATGAGCAGCCAAAGGAACCATCGGAGATCGAACGTTGACCCCTACAAGAAGCACAGCCGTTGCTCTACCGACTAGTTTAGGTGGATGGGCAGTCAGAGATATAAAGAGCAGGTGGGTATAGCTGTTCGTCATATGTAGGTTCGAACCCTGGTCGGGTCATAGAGTTCTTAAGTGCCTTATGGCATGGGGGGGGGTCATTTATGCTTTATTTCACATTTTTATATTATGTATATTGAAGCTTTATGTGACACCTTAACCGACAAGGAAACACTGAAGAAAGTAATCATTTAAGTTATAATACTAGATTGTTAAGGCATGTTTGTAAGTACATATAAATAATTGTCAGGTCTTGTCTGGCACTGTCATTATATATATAATATATATATATATATATATATATATATATATATTCTATATATATATATATATATATATATATATATATATATATATGGCCACCATTCCACCATCCATTCAATGCTCTTATTGTCGCCCGGGTGGTATCACAGTGAACCCCTGGAAGAATGGCAAGCAGTTGGTATGGGACTACACGTGCGTATCAACCCTGGCTAACACCTACATTAACCTCAGTGTTGCATAACCAGGTGGCGCTGCCACCCACAGGGAAGCAGCCAAATCCCGTAAGTATAGACAACTGGATCACCCCTACAATTTTGTCCCCATTGCTTCTGAGGCACTCGGCGCCTGGGGTAAAAGTGCTACCAGTTTTTTGACGGAACTGGGTTCTAGGCTCATTGAAACAACAAGGGACTCTAGAGCTGCCAGCTTTCTTTTCCAGCGCCTCAGCGTGGCGATACAGAGAGGAAATGCGCACTGCATCCAGGGTTCCTGCCCGCCATCTGAGGAGCTGGAGGAAGTCGACAACCTATGATAACCATCTGTATAACCCATATGTAACTCCTTTTTTGTAACAAAGTTCAAATAAAGCAAATATATATGTGTACATACAAAAGAATGGGGGTGGTAGGAGAAGATTATATTAGTGTTCAGTGAGAAACCACAAGGTCTCCTCTGAATACTTTTTATTTCTTCTCCGAGGCTATGGGTCCCCACATTGGCACCAGAGGTGGTACACTCACAAATTTTATATATATATATATATATATATATATATATATATATATATAATATATATATATATATATATATATATATATATATATAATATATAATATATGACAGTGAAAACGACCAGTTGAAAGTTCTCTGACAATCATTTGGGAGGATTTTTGTTTTCCTGATAATTGTGACATAGAGACTGGAGCCCAACCTAAGAGTACAAACACACAGGTTCTTCCCAAAGTCATCAACACACACATGTATATCTAACAGTGCTAACTTGAGCGCAATTGTGTTAAAACCAAAAGTACTTTTATTCCCTGTTTTGCTCTTTCATTTTCTCTCTCTCTCTCTCTCTCTCTCTCTCTCTCTCTCTCTCTCTCTCTCTCTCTCTCTCTCTCTCTCTCTCTCTCTCTCTCTCTCTCTCTCTCTCTCTCTCTCTCTCTTTGCCATTAAAATCCTGGGTAGCACCTTAAAGGAAATGAATAGGAGATGAGCGGCGGGAGAGAGAGATGCGCTGGAGACGGAGGCTGCTTATGTGCTCCTGTTGCTTGCGGAATGTTGAAGAGGAGCGGGAAGCGACAACCCGAGCAGACCAAGAACTACAGCTCGGCCCTCAGGCTTCAATAATGTTCGGCAAGCCCCCGGATGAATGACAGAGAGAAGGGGGGCGAGAACTACGACATGGCCCTTGGCTAGTAGATGGATGGGTAACCAGGTCGACGAGGAGAGAGGGGGGAAGATTCGATTTTTACCAATAACTGAATGAGACGAATAATCACTGATGCCGAGTGCTCTAACAGGGCATTCCGTCAGGTTAAGCCAGTAACTGGATGGGTTATCGTGAGGGGGACCTCAGGTGACAAGGTGGCGATGATGATGAATTTGACGGAAGTCCGGTTAAGGTCCATTGTTTGGATGGGTGACCGTTGTTGTTGTTTAAGATTCGCTACTCAAAACAATAAGTTCCAGTAGCACGGGCTATGGTGAGCCCGTAGTATGGGTGACCGCGAGAGAGTGACGGTATAGGGGGAGGGAGGGGAGACAGATGTTGACAGTGTTTATTAAGCCACCACAAGAGGTGGCACGGGCATGAGTAACCCCGTAGGTGGTGTATAGATGTTTGGGAGTGAATGTGATCTCTGGTGGTGTGTAACATCTTGAAGCGTCTCGGCGTCTGTGTGGGTGTTTGGTGGTCACCAAGAATGTTGTGATGCTGCCGGAAGATGGCGCGTGTGGTACTGGGTACCTTTACTGTGTGTGTGTGTGTGTGAGACAGATACAACTGTTTACATGATGGTGAACTGTGTGTGTACTGCAGGATAGCTGTTTGTGCAGCAGTACGTGTGTGTGTGTGTGTGTGTGTGTGTGTGTGTGTGTGTGTGTGTGTGTGTGTGTGTGTGTGTGTGTGTGTGTGTGTGTGTGTGTGCGGTGATACGGATTAAGCTTGTGTGGTGGTACAGAATGTTTTTTTTGTGGTGATACAATATATGATGCTTGGGAGGATAGAGTATGCTTATTTGGTGATATAATAATGATTGTGTGGTGACACTGAATTTTGTGTGGTGATACAGTATGCTTGTGTGGTAGTGAAGTATGTGTTGTGACACAGAATATTTGTGAGGTGATAGAGTATTCTTGCTTGATGATACAGTATGGTTATGTGATGAAACTGAATGGTTGTGTGATGACACAGTATGTTTATGTGTTGAGGGGTAGGGGTGGGGTCAAGGGAAGAGGGGTTAGGGAGGGTATGGGGGTTTTGAATGGGGACAGGGAGGGTTAAGGGTTATCTTGAGATGATTTCGGGGCTTTTTAGTGTCTCCGCGGCCCGGTCCTCGACCAGGCCTCCACCCCCAGGAAGCAGCCCGTGACAGCTGACTAACACCCAGGTACCTATTTACTGCTAGGTAACAGGGGCATAGGGTGAAAGAAACTCTGCCCATTGTTTCTTGCCGGCGCCTGGGATCGAACCCAGGACCACAGGATCACAAGTCCAGCGTGCTGTCCACTCGGCCGACCGGCTTCCTTGAGGAGGGTTTCTGTGGGAAGGAGGGTTGGGGTGTTGCACTCCTCTCTAGGGATGCTTGACTGCTGGTTGGGAGCTCCCCACTCCCCTCTGGGAATGTTATGCTGGGGACTGTGGTTCCTTGGTTCTCTCCTATATCCCTGCTCTTCTTACTTGCATCTGCTGACATAATTCTCTCTTCCCTTCCCATGTCCCTCTGAAGCAATACTTTTTTGTATCATCTTACATTTAACAGTTGGCTCTTCTTTTGTAGAATTTCCTCCTTTGTGGTCTTGATCGTTAACATCGTCTTTACCAGTCGATCTCTGTCCTTGTTGTACCAACCTAGCCTGAAAACCTTCTCTATGCTTTGTTCAGCCCCCCCCCCCTCCATCTGTAACCCCTTTAGGATCTCTCACTGCCACTCTGTCCTGAGCTTTCCATTCTGTCTGACTGTAGCTGTCATGTACTTTAATGCCCACTGCTACCACTGATCTTTTCCTTTCCAGCTGCTAGCAAGTGCACCTTGCTGCTTCTTGTGAGGTCGCTGCTTTCATGGCTGCATCCACCACTGTGGACATTGCATCTGAGATCTTTCTTAGCATTTCTAAAAATGTGACATGTACCATGGCAGTCCCATTGGTATATGTCCATCTTCTATTGGGATGATTATCTCATGCAGAGCCTGAGTAGGTTTTTCTTTGAGGGTTCTCATCTCCTCTTTTGCTGCTATCAGCTCGCTTTGCAGGCTGCTTATTGTTTCCCTCATTTCATGCAGCTCTCTTCTGATTTCCCCCCCCCCAAGTTTGGGTGAGCATCTCCTTAATTGGGTCAGAGAGAGTGTGCGTGTAATTACCTAAGTGTCATTACAGCATGAGAGCTACGCTCGTGTTGTGTCCCGTCTTCCCAGTACTTGAACGGTACTTCTCAGTACTCTACAGCTGTGTGTGTGTGTATGTGCGTATATATGTGTGTGTATGTGAACAATTCCCATCAACCCCCCACAACTCACACCATATTAGCCACGTCTGTGGAAGAAAACTAACTAAAAGCTCCAGACCACAAGCCACAAGTAACGCCACGGGTCACATGGGAAGCTCTACAGCTTACTGGACTCCACCAGTTCGGTCCTGAGTGCGATCCACCTCATAAATGAGTCACGGGCGCGCTCAACCTTTGAGGCGGTAGTATTTGAGGTCTGTGGTAGAGAGGTGTAGTTTAGTTGTGACGGAATACTGAGGTAGAGGATGATAGTGTATTTGTGATGGTGTACTGAGGTAGATGGTGACAGTGCCGGATGATTGCTCTAGTTCCAAGGTTGCTCTTGTGTGTATATTTATGGTCCTATAATGGTGAATTGATGGGATTAGGGCGAGAAAATGGACGTACCGTGAGATGTGGGTGTAGGTAACAGTGATTCGTGCTACACAGTACCTGAGATGTTCACCCATTGATTAACAGAGAGTTAAGATGATATAATGCTTGGATGATATAGTTAACTAAGATGCTAATCTATCAGTGCTTCCCTAGCATGGAAATTTGGTCTATTAGCACCTAGTGATCTACATCTGTTAACAAAAAAGTGTCTGCCCAAGGGTGGAGACCAGATTCTTGGAGCTAGCCTTACCCAACTTTTCACGATGACACATGGGTGGTAGGAGACTGTCAAAAGAAGGTCGAGGTCGGCCCCATTACTCACCCCCCCCCCCCCCCTCCTCCCCGGCCCTTTAAAACAAAAGTAGTCGACTACTTTTGAAATGCCA